TTTTAACAAGCTGAATATAGCAGAAATACTACAGCAGGGATCAGCTGACTCGAGAGCGTCAGCAATTATCGATCGGTAAGAGTCCAGAGCGGAAGAGTGGGTAGACGGTGCGGCGGCGTGTGTTAGAGCGCAGAGTGCAGAGTAAGAGACGGAGAGGCAATGATGATAATCTCCTGAAAGTTTTCGGCTTCCCATCGACACGCAATCACCGGAACGCTCGCCAGCGTGGTCGTAGGGAACGCCCCACCGTCCGGTGAGCGCTCAACTGTAGCTAATGTGATAAAAGAGTATAGTGCCCACGTCACGCACACGTGATGACGATATACCAACATCCATGCAAACGAAATACGGAAGGATCAAACACGTGGCCAAGAACTTATGCACCAACCTAATACTAGGCACGAAGCCAACCGGGAACTCGTCCAAACCTGCTTTCCAAGAAGAATAAAGGATTTTTATACAGGTTTTTGACTGTTTCATTCCGCTTTTTCGTTAATTTCCCCACTCTCTAGCCCCTACAATTCAGAACCAAGCACCAAAATATCTCCCTTGTGCCTTTAGCGGTGAGATTCTTCGTCACTTGATCGGCAGCTCTACTCATTACAACTTCATGAATAACTATTGACAAGGCTCTTAACCATTCTTTCACAGTGCTTCGCGAAGACCTGTTATACTCAAGGTCGACTGTTATACTCGAGGTCGGCTATATGCGACTCCATTTTCAAACCGATACTTACTACTTTCACGATCACTCACATCAGCGGCTTGCTTCGCTACCTGGTGCTTCCCGTACTCCAGGAGCTGTACTAGTTATTTCAGCACATTCAAAGCAAAGGGCAAGTTCACTTATTTTGAGGCTTCTCTTCGCTTTCTCCCTCAACCATGCGCATCCAAATCTACTTTTTTATTCGAAGCATTTCACAACACCATGAAAAAGAGAATGTTTTGTTTACTCGAGTTATCCGTTAAATACATGAGCTTCCATAGAAAGCGAGCGCTTTACTCTATACATAAGTCATTAAACGCAAGAATATACAGAAAAGCAGAGTGAGCCTTCTTAACTGGACATCTTGTTGCCTCCCTCGTGCATTTTCTGGCCCATATAGTCGCGGGCTTCGTCAGCCTGAAAAGTTAGTTTTAAAATATCCTTCCTTTCAAAATTACCCCTTACA